TTTTTTTTTTTTTTTTTTTTTTTGAGACAGCGTCTCACTCTGTCACCCAGACTGGAGTGCAGTAGCATGATCATGACTCACTGCAGCCTTGAACTCTTGGGCTCAAGCGATCCTCCCACCTCAGCTGGGACCACAGGAGCACATCACCATGCCCGACCATTTTTTGTAGAGACGGGGTCTCACTACGTAGCCCAGGATACCTACCTCTGATCCTGCCTTGTCTGTCTTGAGAAGGTTTATCAGGTTGAAACCTTGAGTTCCTTCAAGAGTCTCCAGGAGGCTGGGGCTACTGAGTCATTCCTGTTGACCTCTTTCCTTGTCTTTGGGTCATCTGAGCCCCACTGCTCCCCTAGGCAGAAAGCTTTGGTATCTTTAGGGACATGCAACCTAACCCCTTCTCTTGCTCTTTCCCCTTTACTGGGTATACCCATCCCACCTCCTGTGGTGGAGAAAGGACAGTTCAAGGGAAATTCATTCTTAAGGCTTGATTCCTACTTAAACATCACAGGATACATTCCCTAGAAGAGGAAGGGTACCTATGGACTGGATTCCTCAGAAACATCAGGACAGAAAGATGCCTCCTTTCCCTACCCCCTCCCTAATTCAAACAGGGGCTGGGAGAGAGGAAGAGATTATTGTTTCGGGGGCGGGGGGGCATGGATGGACTGACCACTGAAACTTCCTTTTCTTCTGGCACGGCCCTATTTGTAGAAGTGCCAGAGTCCTGAGGGGAAAAGCAAGAGAGGGAAAGAAAGAACATTATTTGAGAGCATTTGGCTGCAATTTTACAGTAAAGATCAAACAGAGAGGGGCCAGCATCATGCCCTCCCCATCCTTCTGTCCCTAGCATATGAATGTCCTGTGGTATGTCTCATAAACGCACGTGCATGCAAACACACACACACACACACACACACACACACACACACACACACACCCTTGCACTGTTGAAACCAGAGCTGCTGGCTCCAGGGAGGGGAGTGAAGAAGGAGCTGTGGACAGGTGTGGGTGGCCACATACCTGTCCTTCTGGGAGGTGACACTTCCATTACACCTCCACAGGTTTCATGTTAACCTCACCCTAGCTTTGGCCCAATGTTGTAAGGAGGGGCAGAAAGATGGCAGAGTTAAGCTGGCCCAAAGCCAACAAGCAAAGAGTTCTCTGCAGACCCTTGAAGTGCCAACAAATCAGTCCCAGCAAGGACCAAATCTGGAGAAAACTCAGCTTAAAGCACAGCAGTAGCGTACTGGCTCCAGCCACACATGTACTAAAATTGGAATGATATAGAGAGGATTAGCAGGGCCCCTGCTTAAGGATGATAACACAAACTGATGAAGCCTTCCATATTTTTCAGTTTGTCAAGCATTTTATTCTTTCGAATAAAACCAACATGTCTATAACCTAACAAAAAAACAGAGATTGGGCCTAGATCACTGGGTGAACTTCCGTGATGGCTGAGAGAAGTGCCCTAGAGACTTCTCGAGGGTTGGGGGAAGCCCTGTCTTCCCTGAGGGATTGTCGGAGGGCAGGGTGCAGGCCTAGGGTAAAGGTTGGGTTCTGGACTGCAGAAAGTGACCCTGGGAGCCCAAAACCTTTGGCACTGCTGAATCAGGAGAAGGGATTACCTGACTGGCCTTATGTCACCCCCAGTAGGCTGGGGCTGGGCCGTAATTGGCTGTAATTTGTTGATGAATGCAATTTGCAGCTGCCTGCTCTCCCTGTGACAGGCCTCAATTAGAGCGGCCAGAGGGATCGAGGGTGGGAGGAGAGCTGGGACGTTGTTTCCAATTCCTTTTCCCGGTCGGCTCTCAGCACTCTGCTGCATCCCAAAACAAGAAGAGGTTCTTGAGGCCAGTTAATTGTCCCCCCACTTACAGACAGTGACATAATTTTAGAACATGTGGAGAGTGAGAAAGGCCTTCCTGCAGGGTGGTCTGGATGCTGTGGATTTAAAAACTTGACCACATTACATGTTTAGTATTTTCTTATTGGTTTTAGAGCTTCTGAAAATTCTATAGGAAAGAAGACTTTTGAGCTAAAAATCTTAATTTCTATCTTATAGTCCTTTCACCCTCTTACCAGATAAAGGAAAAAAAAAATCAGAATGATGGAAAAGACAGAGAGAAAGAAAGCAATGGAGAAACCCTATCTCTACTAAAAATACAAAGTTAGCCAGGCGTGGTGGCACATGCCTATAATCCCAGCTACTTGGTAGGCTGAGGCAGGAGAATTGCCTGAACCCAGGAGGTGGAGGTTGCGGTGAGCCAAGATCGCGCCATTGCACTCCAGCCTGGCAACAAAAGTGAAACTCCATCTCAAAAAAAAAGAAAAAAAACAGACTCCCCCTTTTATGAAGGCTTCCTTGGTTTCTCTAGAAAGAGTTGTATTCTCTCTCCTAATTATTCTTTTTTTTTCTTTTTCTCCTAATTACTCTTTTAGAGCACTTATCAGGTAGAGTTCTTTTTCTTTTTCTTTTTTTCCTCTTGAGACTCTTTTTTTTTTTTTTTTTTTAAATGGGGGTTTCCCCTGATGGCGGGGGTGGTTTTTAACACCGGACCTCAGGTGATCCCCCCACCTCAGCCTCCCAAAGTGCTAGGATTACAGGTGTGAGCCACAGCGCCCAGCTAAACTCCTTATAAAACCAAAGAGTTATTTTAAATCTTGGGTGTTTCCATTTAGACTGGAAGTTTCTTGGTTCCAAGTCCCATTCGTTTTTGTAGACCTCAGCACCTAGTGCAGTGTCTGGCATTGCGTAGGCTCTCAAAGATGTTTTTAGATAGATGGATGGATGGACAGGTGAACAGATGGATGGACTTGGAGGATGGGTGGATGAAGGAGGATAGATGGATAGATGAATGGATGGACTGGAGAATGGATAGATGGAATGGATGAGTGGAGAAAATGAGGGATGAAGAGAAGGATGAAGAGAAGACAGTAGAATGAAACGATTCAGAAGTTTCTAGGCAAGTTCTTTGTGGATCAGTTCTCCCCTACTATGACCATTTTCCCTGAATTCGATTTTTGGAACATCTAACGCACCTATGTTCAGACGCAAGGACCAAAAACAACTTCCCAAGCCAATTAGAGGTCATTTTAATGTGTCATTTTTGGATTACCTGTGCCATTGCTTTCCTCTACAGAACGTTATGGTTTAGCTACACAAATACAATATTTGATAAAAATGCCTCAAATAGGCAGCTGATGGCAATGACGAAGTCTGTCTGAAAATAAAACAGCTTGAAACTATCTGACAGTGGAGAGTGTAGGAGGCAGGGAGAGAGAGTAAATCATTGGTGCATATAGTGAGCAAGATAATCAGGACTTGAGGACAGGAAAGGCTGGAATCATGATAGGAGGATTAAAGACACACATTAGAAGGACTTCCCGGCCGGGCGCGGTGGCTCAAGCCTGTAATCCCAGCACTTTGGGAGGCCGAGGCGGGTGGATCACGAGGTCAAGAGATCAAGACCATCCTGGTCAACATGGTGAAACCCCGTCTCTACTAAAAATACAAAAAATTAGCTGGGCATGGTGGTGCGTGCCTGTAATCCCAGATACTCAGGAGGCTGAGGCAGGAGAATTGCCTGAACCCAGGAGGCGGAGGTTGCGGTGAGCCGAGATCGTACCATTGCACTCCAGCCTGGGTAACAAGAGCGAAACTCCGTCCCAAAAAAAAAAAAAAAGAAGGACTTCCCAATTATGTTTGGTAGCAAAACATTAGACTAAATGATTATTCATGATTTTATTAATTTTTTTTTTTTTGACCAGGCACGGTGGCTCACTCCTATAATCCCAGCACTTTGGGAGGCAGAGGCGGGAAGATCACCTAAGGTCGGGAGTTCAAGTCCAGCCTGACCAACATGGAAAAACCCCGTCTCTACTAAAAATACAAAATAAGCTGGGTGTGGTGGCATATGCCTGTAATATCAGCTACTTGTGAGGCTGAGGCAGGAGAATGGTTTGAACCTAGGAGATGGAGGTTAAGGTGAGCTGAGATGGAGCCGTTGCACTCCAGCCTGAACAATAAGAGCGAAACTCTGTCTCAAAAAAAAATTTTTTTTTTTTGAAACTCACAGCTTCAAATAAAAAAAATTTTTTTTTTTTTGAGACAGAGTCTCACCATGTTGCCTATGCTGGAGTCCAGGGATGTGATTATAGCCCACTGCAGCCTCGCTCTCCCAGGCTCAAGTGATCCTCTCACCTCAGCCTCCTGAGTAGCTGGGACTACAGGCACACACCACCATGCCCAGCTATTTAAAAGAATTTTTTAGTAGACATGAGTTCTTGCTATATTGCTCAGGCTGGTCTTGAGTTCCTGAGCTCAAGTGATCCTACTGCCTTGGTCTCCTAAGGTGCTGGTATTACAGGTATGAGCCAATGCACCCAGCCTATTCATGATTCTTTTTTTAATTTTTTAATTTTTTTATTTTTTTAAAGATGGGGTTTCACCATGATGGCCAGGCTGTTCTTGAACTCCTGACCTCAGGAGGTGATCCACCCACCTCGGCCTCCCAAAGTGCTAGGATTACAGGTGTGAGCCACTGTGCCCGGCCTATTCACGATTCTTGACCTACTACTCACCCAACTAACATTTATTGAGCAACCATTCTGACCCGTACGTCAGGCTAAGCGCTTTCACTTATATTATCTCAGCCCATCATGCCTAGGGACAGGAAGATGGAGTTCACACACTCTTGATGTGCACATTTTCCTTGGGCGATCTCCACCACACCCGTGCTTTTAACCACAGTAGCTACTTTGACTGTCCAGTGTTCCATCTCTGGTCCAGATCTCCTCTAGTCCCACAGCTTACTGTCCTCTGCTGCTGACTCTCTCCCCCTAGATGTCTGCAGGTGCCTCCAACTCAAGAGAATCCACACAGGTTTCACCTGTTTCCCCACCAAACCTTCTCCTCTGCCCAGATTCTGCATCTCTACTCGTGGCACAAGGCAAGAGGATAGAGCCCAGTAGTTTGAGACCAGCCCTGACAATATAGTGAGACCCTATCTCTACAAAAAATTAAAAAATTAGCTGGGTGTTGTGGCGCACTCCTGTAGTCCTAGGAGCTTGGGAAGTCCTGCAGTCTCTGAATCCTTAAGCCTGGGAGGTCGGGTCTCCAGTGACCATGGTCACACCACTGCAGCCTGGGCAACAGAGCAAGACCATGTCTCAAAAAAAAAAAAAAGTTCAAAAAAAACCCTAACAGAGTCAACAATCAGAATATAAATTCATTCTAGATTAATTTGGGGGTCTCTCACTTGACCCACTCAATACCCAAGTCAGGACATGAGCATCAGCTCCTTTTCCCTGCCTAGGACCCCCATGTGGGCCACCATGTCCAGTAATTCTACTTCCTAAATGCCTCTGTTTTCCTTTTCCTTTCCTTGGGAGCTGACCTAAATTCAGGTTCTCGCCATTCTCACTGGGCTACTCCCCTAGCTTCCTTGTGCTCCTCTTCTCCCCCATCCCGTGTTCTGGGAAACCATTCTTCACTTGGTTGCCAGACTCATCTTTCCAAAATGCAAATCTGATCAGTCACACACCCTCCAAGTCTTTTGATGATTCTCTAGCTGTTTTTAAAATAACATCCAAAATCCTTAGCTTCTGCGACAAGAGCCTTCATACTCTAACCACTCCTCTTCTTAACCCCCACTGTGCTGCACCAGATCCCAGTACTTGCTGGCCTATGCTCTTTCATTCCCATGCCTTTGCATAGGCGATTCCTGCTGCCTAGGAATGCCATTCTTCCCTTTTATACCGATATAATTTCTCCTAGTTCTTCACCATTCAGTGCGTTGGGTATCACCTCCTCCAGGCACAGTCTCTGACTGCCCCTCTGCTCCTGATTCTGAGTGAGCTCCCCATCCTCTGGCCTCTCACTGTGTCCAGTGCTTTTCTCTTCTTTAGTGCTGATTACACATATTACAGTTTCCTGTTTCCTCGTCTGTGTCTCCCACTCAAATGTGAGATACTCCAGGACAGGTAGGCTGTCTCTAACGTCTGCATTCTTGGTGCTGCCTGTGTTGCCTGGCACATAGTGTGCCCCATAAATGTTTGTTGAGTGAATGTATGACTGGTAGTTCTCTATCATCTACGGGCCTTTGATCTCATTCTCTCTAATGGGGAAGCCAATTCAGTACAATTTAAGATAGGACTCAGGATGTGATGTGGAAATCAGTACATTTTTCTCTCTCCTTCCCCCATCTCTCTCAGAATTCGCCGGTGGCCACACCCTTGGCACAGACACAGGCAGCTCAGTCTGCAGAACGTCAGCTGGCAGCGAGCAGCCCTTCCCTTCCTCCCTGGCTCTGTCTTCGTGCTCAGTACAAATCGTTTTTCCTTTTTGGGTGT